AACCCTAACCCTAACCCTAACCCTAACCCTAACCCTAACCCTAACCCTAACCCTAACCCTAACCCTAACCCTAACCCTAACCCTAACCCTAACCCTAACCCTAACCCTAACCCTAACCCTAACCCTAACCCTAACCCTAACCCTAACCCCTTCGTCGGCATGGTCGTCGGCATCTTTGTTCAGGATCTTCGACTCCAAGGCTGATATGTTCCTGTACAGCTTCTTCAGTTGGACGGCAAAAGCATTGTTGCCGGCGTCATCCTTGGGTTTCCCATGGACGTCAAAGACTGCGGAGGATGCTGACGAATTATCGGTAGCGCCTGATGACAAAGTGAAACTCGAAGAGGCCATCGAGTGGGCATAGGAAGAGGTGGAGGAGGTGGGGCCGCAGTTGCCCCAGGGTTTCGAGGCTGCTTGCTGGCGCATATCATTGGATGATGGGCAGGCGAGAACGAGATTGAACAGGGTCGTCCTTGCGGTGATCGTAAAGGCGCTGATTTTGGGAGGGATCCCGCCTCTGTGCTGTGATGCGGGGAACATGGAGGCTGCCGTGCGCCTCGGGAGCTAGCTCTGGTTCTGCAGGCCTGCGCATGAGGATAGGGTCGGAGTTGGGGTTGAAAAGCTTGGTGGACTGGGGCGCCTTGCAGTGCAGCTCGTCTGCGTCTACATCTGGGTGGGAGGCGAGGGTGAGCTCGTGGAATTTCTGGGCTGTGGGATGGTTGTTCAGAGGAAGTGAGGGAAGGCTGTGTGTACCGGCTTTCGCTGGAGCACGATCAGGCGTTCTGCGAGGTCCATGTCGGCTGGGCTGGGTCGCGCGCTCTCGGGAAACGAGGGCTCCATGGCTGATCCGGCGAGTTCTCGAGCAATGTTGATATTATTCGCCCTGTGTTTCTGCTGGTGTATCCAGTGTGAAGGTATTAAAGTGATAGTTATATGCTGGAGAATATACCCAACCAGATGGCTGAGCATCGTCAACAGCCATGGTAGACGTAGTTGCCTCTGGGTCGGAGGTCAACGTTGCCGTTGGTGTGGTCATGGGCTGGCCCTTCTTGGTGCGTGTTTCCTTCGCGGACTTTTGGCCCCTGGTCTTCGTGATCTTCCGAGTCGCCTTTGCTTTCTTCTGTTCAAAGGCGGGCTGAACGTCTGACGTGTGCGGTGTAGGGACAGCGGAAGCAGTGCCAACGTTGACGGCAGTCACATCAGAGGAGGACGGCGCGGGAGCAACGGCAGATTGAGTTGCATCGGGCTTGTCAGCGTCACCTGCTGTGTTCATGGCTTTGACCAAGCGCATGTGCTGAGTCGCAGTATGCCTAACTTCTTCAATATTAATGTTAGTAACCCGTAGAGGGCGGGAGCGAAGGGTTTCAGGGACGACCGCGTCAAGGTACTGGTAGTTATGGATGGAGTATATGTTCAGTAGGTAGTCGTTAGTCGGGTTATGCTTCAGGACAGACTTCGACACCGCGGAAACAGCCCGTTCTTGCATGACCGGGCGGAGCTCGAGGTCAAGGCACTTTGAGTCGGGGCAGTTGTGTTGTACGTTAGCAACACAAACAATGCTCTGAAAAGTTCATCAGCAACTTCACACTTTACTGGTCGGACTTGTGGGCTTGTTTCGGCTTTTTATTTGGTTGACAAGTTTTTCACTCGTTTGGACTATTTAGTACGGAATATTATATATTTACGCAACAGGGGTTGGCCAATTGTGAGAAAGGAAATGGAGAAGTGAGTCGTGCTGAAAATCAAAAGAAGATTTTGACGAGGCTCGAACACACGACCTCGCGCGGACCCCACAAATCACAATCACCACCTGACCCACTGCACCACAACGCCATTAAAATGATTGCCAATGTCATTGTTTATAGCCCATTGCTGACGGACTTGAACAAAATTCGTCGTCCATCTGCTATGGTTCACTGTGACTCGGACTGTGCATGTACTCGAGTACAGTACTGGGCCATCACTGAGGAATCTAACACTGCAATGTCTGTAATAAATTTGTTTCTGATCTACTATGTAGTAGTTCATCTGTGTTCTTCACTACTCAGTTGTATATCAAAGATACAGGTGTTGAGGGTTTGAAGAAATTTGTCTAAGTCTGTCAGTAACGGGTCATAAGCACTAGCATGAGCAGTTGTTACAACGGCACTGTGGTGCAGTGGGTATAACGTTGGCAACGGCTTATGTAGTGCATGTGAGGTCGTGCGTTCGAATCTCATCAAACTCTTCTTTTGATTTGCGGCCCGACTCCCGTCTCGCTAATTCCTGTTGCACATATATGTATTTATTTCGTAAATAAACCACACCTATTATTGACACGTTAGCAAAGGTCGTGTAAACTTGTGAATTCTAGTAAAACTTGGGTAATTCTCTATGTTTCTGGCCCACTTGTGTACTTTACTAACTTTCGTTGCTTGTGCAAGCTTACCCCAGCTTCGACAAGCTTGTCCAAGTGAAAAACAGTGAGTTGTAAGGTTGCTGATGTTGTACTGAGGGTGAATGGTGGTACACGATGTTATGATGAACTCACTGTAGCATCAAGC